GAGGAGGACAGCAGGGACAAGCTGCAGCTGGGGGGACCCACCCTAGGGGCAAGTGAGGAGGAGGAGGACAGCAGGGACAAGGTACACTTGTCTGGGATTGACTCTCCCTCTAGTTCCCAGGACTGAGAAGCAGAAGAAGGTGGACTCTCGCCCCCACCACAATGCAGGGCACTCCTGAGGCTGTGGTCTGAGGGGCAGGGAGTAGGACAGTTTTGATTTACATTGGATTGAATGCTTTAGTCCCTGATAATTTGTTTTATTACTCCGAGTGACCAGAAAGGTTAGACAGCATCAAGGTGGGGAGAGTGCAGCCTGGACAGTGCGCTTTCGAGAGGAGACGCGGGAGAAGAGCGAAAGCTTCTCTCTGCCTGCAGCCAGCTGAGCCCTGCCTGCTCAGCCCGCCCGCAGCACGTGCCTCCCCTCTCACGTCCTCGCCTGGTTAGTAGAGCAGGTGCACGGAGGAAAGTGAGCTCAGGGAACTTTAGCAACGTGGGTAGAGGGTGGCGGATTCAGGGGCGGCACCTGTGGCTTAAGGAGTAAGGCACCAGCCCCATATACTGGAGGTGGCGGGTTCAAACCCGGCCCGACCAAAAACTGCAAAAAAAAGAAAGAAAGAGGGTGGTGGATTCAGGCGAGAGTCACCTGACTCGAGAGCGTGCGACATCTCCACTGTATCACGGTGCCTCTACAGGTGACAAGCGAGGTGCCCAGAGGCCTGGCCACTGCTCGCCTAGGCTCATGGGGAGTGAGCTTCATCCGCTTTGCCTCCTCTGATTCAAAGGTGGCGTTCTACAGGTAACATTTAGGACTCCCTCGCCTCTCCCATTCCCTGGGCTGAGGAGACACTGCATTTATCCACATAACACCTTGGAACCACGGAGGGCAGGCGCTGCCCGTGTCGCCACTAAGCATTGGCCTTTCTTTGACAACAGACTCGTGCAGTGTCCTGTCATCACCGAAGCTTGAGGAGCTGCCCAAGAGGGCTCTTCTGCCTCTGCAGAGAAGGAACGAGCACATTCCCAGTTCGGATTTTTATGCATGTAGCTGAGATAGGGAAAGCTTGCACTTTTTCCCTGAGCACACACAAAGGATTGATTTTACCAGAAGAAACAAAAAGAAATGA